CTTTCACATTTTGTGCCAACATAACTTCTCCTACAGTCTGTTCTCATTCCCAAGTCATCCTTTAAGGCACTCTGGTTACAACAGCCAGACATGGTAGCTGTTGAAACTATTTGGAAAGGAAGAAGAAATTATTGAAATTGTTGACCTATGTGGGGGATATATCGCAGCTTTGTATCTTCATACTATATCCTCTATGAAAACATTTGTGCTATCTGTGGTAAAATGGGCTTTTTATATGCTTGTCAGATTAGCACTGGGCTCTCCACATACACTTTTACCATTTTAAATGATTTAAGCATTTGTTAATGGTAAGCAACTGGAATTAATGAAACCTCCAGTATTAATTCAGGCATTACATCATCATGAGTCATGCATTAGTTAAGCAGTACTTATATGATTTATACCCTTATTATAAAGTCTTATCAACATATCACAATGAATACTAATGACTTTGGCGATCCCCAGACTTTTTCTCTAGTACCAGCATGAGGTTGACATGTTTGGGTTTGAGTGAAATGTCTGAACACCTGGATTGCCATGAAATAACTTTTCATCTGACTCCACGAGGTCAAAATTTTGATTTGTCCCAAATATTAGCATACCAACACGTTTAACTAAAATGGTCAGCATCTGCTTCAAATCAACATGCTAGCATTGTCATTGTGAGCATGTTAGTATGCTGACATTAGCATTTAGCTCAAAGCACCATTATGGCTCTGTACAGCCTCACAGGGCTGATAGGGTAGCTGTCGACTCTTAGCTTTAAAAGACCAGTGTCTAGAATTAAGTGGCATCCAGTGCTGGACTAGTTACTTTAAAAAAAAAAAAAATTATTTCTCATTACTCTTTTAAAAAGTAATAGTATTACTTTACTTATTACTCCCTGCCAACAGTAATTAGTTACACTACTACTTGTGTCACTTCTTCTTCTTCTGTGTCTCCCTAAAATTCAGACATATGCCAGTTAAAATTCAGTTTTGTTTGTTTGTTGTTTGTTAAAATCAAAGTAATGGCTGTATTTACCACTGAATACAAGCGTTTCCATCTTCCAAGTTAGTTTCCTCCATGATTACAAAAATGGATCCAAGGGAGTGATTGTATAGTTGGATTTAATATTAGTAGGCGACAAAAGTAAGGTTGTAACTAATTATTTTTTTGGCTGTGGTAACTGTAATATTATAACTAAAATGTATTAGTAATTAGTTACACAACTTGTTATAGAGGGAGTCATAGTATTACTGTATATTATTACTAGGAATGCCTTACTGCCCAAAACTGATGGCATCAAACAGTAAAGATACAGATTGCAACAAAATGAACGCCACTCACGACCTGGGATTGAGAACAGGCTTTGACGTGTGTAGGACTCCATGGAAGGTGACTTGCTGAAAGGGCTCATTCTTTCTTTTTTTGTTTTCAGGTGATTATACATTAATTAAAACATTATATTCCATTTCTATCAATAGAGCCACCTAAATATTACACACTCAACCTTTAACAAATGTATTTGTAACCTTTACACTCTCATCTCACACTCAAAAAAACATACATACATCAGAAACAGCAATATATAATCCTCTATAAGCTAAGCATCATCTGTATGAAGGTAGAAGCACATGTACACAGCAGAAGAATAATAGGTTTTATGAGAAACTAATAGGTTAAGCACTCTGTTGTCTTAGACTACACACACTGTGCAGTAATATGTGTTGGTTGTGAAAGGGGCGGAGGGATTTCAGCAAGATCACATTGAGACAATGATGATAATAATACTTAGCCTCAATACAAGCACCACAATTACTGTGGATTAACGTGGAAAAGAGTCTGATGTCTGTGGAGCTGGGAAGGTCGCGGCCTGTTTGGACAGTATCCCAGAGTCGGACATCTGCATAAACCAGCGGCCAGCACCAATCAGCTGTTCCACCACTCAGAATAGATAGGCTGCTGATAATCCACCACTGCAGCCTGAACAGAGGAGAGCCTGTGACAGAGAGGTGAGTCAATGACATACCAACACTGTCTCCTCTGCATGGCTGCTGTCCAATGTCCAAAATACAAATACAAATAATGAAAATGTATTAAATTAATTATGAGCCTTTTCCATCCAATTTTCTCCCTTATATGAGTTTTCCTTCTCTCATCAGAAAACATCAAACATGTTAATACGGTTCTGAGGTACAGTAAAGGCCTAAATGATTCGAACCAAAGTAGGTCTCAGAAGTACCACTTACCTCTGTTTTGGTGCTCAGGTACTACTTTCCATGATCAGAGGGGATTGAACAGATGCCTTTTCTCTCTTCTCTTATAACCTGAAGCCTTATCATGTTGTTAAATCATCACGTGCACCTGAGCATGGTGAAGGTTTAGCAGTCTAGCATACTTGGTTTGAATCCAGGTCACAATCTTTGCCACAATGTCTGCCATTCTCGACCATCTCGACTGTCTAATAAACAGAAATAAAACAAACGAAATATGTCCAAATATGAATTTTATTCATTTAGTGACATTTTTCTAAACCAAGAAACAACAAAGTTTGTAGGTTTCATTATAAATAAAACGTGTGTCAGCTAGAAATACTTACATTGCACTTATTTCTCTAAACTTAATCTGTAACCCTTGACTGTGGTATTATCAGTAATGTCTGCCACTAAGAAGATTTTTTTTCTTTTTTCTTTATTTCTTTTTTCTTTTTCCCCTCTTCCTTTTTTTGCCCATATGGAAGGCACACATAATGGTTCTTTTGTTGCTTCATATGAGCTCAGATTATGTGAGTGTACTGTAAAGTGTAGGAGTTTGATAAGGTGCTGTAAAAACCAAGTCTGGGGGATGTCTTCACTCTGTGTTGAGGAGCTGAAACAAGACTGTAATCACATGCAACATATACATGCATTTTTACAGACAGTTCAGTGTCAAATGTTGATTTGATGCCTTCAAGGTCTTGGGAGTGTCAAGTACATAACATAGCAATGGCCAGCTGCAACTGTCAAATTATAAAAGAGTATGATCTTTTATTAAACATCCTTTATGTTAGTTTATAACAGTACACATTGGTTATAGTAGATATATTTGCAGAAACAGCTGTCTGCTGTGACTTAAACTGACTAGAGTGGTAAGTGCAAACCAAAACAGTAAAGCTGAAGGATGCTAAAAAAAAAAAAAATAAAAGACCAACTGGACTTTAATTCTCAGTGGTACATACAAACAACACACTTACCAGTAGTCATGTGATCCACTATAGCACACCCAAATAATACAAAAGCAAATGTTTTTTTCATGCTTTCAGATAACATTAATAGCATGACTCAATATTACTTGTAGGAAGAATGTTGTATTTATTTATTTCATATAATAATAATAATACCAAACTTTAATAGTCTAGGCATGAACAAGACTCTGAGTGTGTGTATAGATATTTATGTTAAACCTTCCAGCAGATGGCAAATAGCAGATGGATATTGGGACGGTTTTCTCTAAAGATTCTTTTCATTATGTGCATGTTTGAGCACTGCTGCTAATGGAATACAGATGTAGGTCTGGTAGTGGTAAAAGTGTTCCACATGGTTTGACAAGAAACCCAAGAACACGAGAAAATGCTACTGATGAAATATATCACATTGAATAATACATACAAAATAAGAATCATGAGCCAAAATAATGCGTGCTTTCTCATGCAACATGAAGAAATAGCCTATGGCTTAAAGAAAGACCAAAAAGTAAATTCAATAACAGCTCTCTGACACACTTTCAACACACACTAAACGATGGTGTTAAGCTGAGGCTGCGTTAGTTATATACATATTACTGTAATTTGCTTAAGTCATCACCGCATAACCTTAACAGACATGCAGTTAATAAGAGCAGGTTTGGTTGGGTCTAGATGAAAATGATGCTAATAGGGGCTGCGGTGTCTCATTACATTAACTCTGGCAGGATTAAAATTAGAAACTTTGCCGGAGCTCAGGGTTCACCGAACTGACGCTCCTCGGATGCGGAGATGCTCGTAGCCGCGCCCACAGAGCGCCTGACGCGCACAGCGGAGCGGAGCGAGCACAACACGCGTTTAAAAAAAAGTCCCGAAGCGACACTGAGACAAAACTGCGAGGCAAGACTGGAGACTCATCATACTAACAGCCTACTCAGAAAATCAGCCCTGTAGACTGCTCATCATTAAGTCCACAGGATGATGGAGCTGCAGCAGAGTCTGTCAGAGTCAGAGTCTTTATCTTCCATAAAGAGGATTTCACTTTTCTGATCTGGGAAATACATCGCGGACATAAATGTGAGTTTGTAGCTGTTTCTTATACTCTTGTTTATTAGTACAAATAAAATTTTGCGCTATTGCCATACAAACAAAAGTGGAAAATGTGTATAGTATAAACAGTAACAGCAACATGCAGTAAAATTGATAAGATATTAACATAATTTAGTGTATTGGTCTTATGTTGAGTATGTCTTTACATTATTGCAAAAATATCACACAAAAATAGAAGCCATTATTATTTTTGCATTGTCACTACTCAGACTCAAAGGCTTGTATGGCGTAACGTTGCTAAATGTAAAAGTTTGTATTACGGATGCCAGGCTGAGGTTCACCACAGAAAAGAAATGTGAGCATAAACTGCCATAAAGAATCTCCATCTTTTTTTTGTCAGATAAGGGAATATTGTCATTAGAGTACAATTACCTTGATCGGTTGTCAGGTGTGGCAGCAAATTCAATAGTCTGGAGACCTCCTATGCCATAATGTGCATAATTTGTCAGAGGCATCTTTCCACATCAGTGAGTATCAGAGAGATGTGCCCTACACAGCAGACTGTTCCCTCTCTGTCAGCCACTGTATTTCTTGCATTATTTAGTCTACTTATGCAAATCCATATGGATGAATCTTTTGCAACAACTGCATGCATAAGGCTCATGTTTATATTTTGCCTTATCTTCCTTTGGCACCACCAGCCTCCATGTACAGTAGCTGAACAAAATGCTGTCTCCTTGGTGATGGTCAGAAAATGAATGCCTCCTCCTGCTGTGATCCTCCAGTCATCATGTATCAGCAGAGTTCAGGATTTGACCTTAATGCCAGCTGTGACTGGCTGGCTCCTCACTGTAACTGGACTTCAGTGGACAGAGCGCCACAGCTGCCTACCTTTTCTACAGCAGCCAAAGTCAGAGTGATCATCACCTTCATCCTGTGTGGCATTTCCACTCTCTGCAATTTGGCTGTGCTGTGGGCAGCCAGCGGCCACAAACGCAAATCCCATGTCCGTGTGCTGATAATTAACTTGACTGCAGCCGATCTCTTGGTTACCTTCATCGTGATGCCCGTGGACGCAGTGTGGAACATCACAGTGCAGTGGCTGGCCGGCGACCTGGCCTGCAGATTCCTGATGTTCCTCAAGCTACAGGCCATGTACTCCTGTGCATTTGTAACAGTGGTGATTAGTCTGGACAGACAGTCGGCTATCCTCAACCCTCTGGCCATCAGCATGGCCCCAAAAAGGAGCAGGGTCATGCTGATGGTGGCGTGGACTATGAGCACCTTGTTCTCAATCCCTCAGGTAAGGCTAGCTGACACTGATTTGACAAGACAGGTTCAGTTAAACTTCAAGACTGACCACTTTGAGGGAAGTGATTCAGAGAGAAGTCCTGGGTTATAGGTTGTGAACTGAACTCTCTTGTGTGTTAGGCTTTCCCTTGTACAACTGAAACCTCTCCTCCATGATCCATACAGTATCCCTGTGAGCAGGCTATAGGTCTTTATATAAGATGATTGGATACATCTGCATACATTATTTCATTCTCACAAAGGTATCAAACTGTAGGAAAACTGCACATGCTACAGGAAATGGAAATCTGGCTTTACATTAACTTGAATTAAATTCTTATACATGGTACACCATTATCTCTATAGTTACATGCTTCTGTGTATTTACATAAAAGGTGGCAATTTGAGGCTTTGTTGCAAGAAAACCTGCTGCATGACTTAGAGGGGCCACAGGGTCTCCGCGTTAGGGATTAGTGGCTCTAACATTGAGTTGCATGGATGGGAATCCCTAATCCTGCAGTATAGATGTTTCACTGTATAACCAGTGTGACATATGGCAACCTATCATGTAACCCTGTGGATCATTTTTTCAAGGCAAAAGGCAGGAGTGTGGTGTTACAATCCAATTTTCCAACTGAAGCTTGATGTTGGATGATTATGCAAAAGACTGGACTATATCCAATGCATCATTTTAGAAATTTTCAATACGAGTGTTTTTTGTTCTTAAATACCCACACATAGTAAATACAATAAAATGAAAGCTTAGATTGGATTAGTTGATGAATTCATTAACAATTCTAGCCAACAGAAAATGAATCTGCAATTATTTTGATAATGAATTAGTTGCTTTAAGTCAATTTTAGGATAATCTACTGAATATCTTTGACCTGTTGGTTGGATTAAAAAGAGCACTCAGTTTTTGCACAGCACATATTGGTTTACAAAGATTAACAGTGGCAGATTTCAAAAAATTCTTTAAATGTTTTAATCAACATGTCCTTGATTTCAGACAGACACACTAAAGCATCTTCTCATTTCTAGCCAGTGAATTTTGACGGCTTACCTGGCTGACTTTTAAATGTTTCAAGCTGACTTTAAAAAAAAAAGTCCTATAAAAGGAGTCTTAAAAAGAAAAGATTGAAGTTAAAGCTGCATGTCCCAGGCACTGAAACTGAAATTGTTGGGGTGGGACACTGGGTTGGCTGCAGTGGCTCAAAAGCGACTAGCTGTCTATGCATTTTCCATTTTTAAATGTAAGACTAGACTTTCGTTTAGTTCTAACATTACAGTGTTTTGGCTGCTATATCACAGCTATTACATTACTTGAACAAGCAAGACAAAGCTTAGATTTATGTGTTGTTTGAATTTTGAAAGAGTATGTTTTAACATTTAATTCTACAAGAGAAAAGACTGAGGGGACTAGTGTTTGGTAAACATAACTCCATGCTGTCAGCTGGGGTTGCTGGAGTGTGAACAGGAAAGAGCTGATAATGTTAGCCTACCTTCAGTTTTCTTTTGTAACCATGTAACCACACATAATAATATAGTATAAAAAGGCTCCTTGGCCTTGGTAGTTATGGTTGCTAACCAATGATTTGACACTCACTGTTCAGGGGTGTTCAGCAAACTGTCAGCTGTTTGTCTGAGATGTAAGCTCAGGTCAAAGCCACCCTCACCTTCACATCTTTAGTTTTTGCCACGATACGTAAAGGCGCATTACTAATGACCACTGAACACTGGCATCTATAAGTAAAATATGTGACCTACATAAGTGTTAAATCCTACGGGGCTCTTTCTAATGCCAAACAGAAAATGACATCTGCTGCCAGCATAAGACTATCCTAATATTTGTTTTTGTTTTATTCCACAGATGTTCATTTTCCATAATGTGTCCATCACTTATCCAGCAAACTTTACTCAGTGCACCACTAGAGGGAGCTTTGTCACTCACTGGCAGGAAACCGCTTACAACATGTTCACCTTCTCCTGCCTCTTCCTGCTGCCGCTGGTCATAATGATTGTCTGCTACACCAGAATCTTCATCCAGATCTCCAAACGGATGACAAAAAAGACCCGTAAGTTCACAGCTGAGTTTTGGTTGGTTATAACATAGATGGTTGGATAGATTCCATTTATTTAAAACAAAAGGTAGAATACACATCTCAGCTCAATTCTCCTTCTTTGCCCCCAGTGTCTTCCAATGAGCTACATCTCCGTTGCTCAAAGAACAACATCCCCAAAGCAAGAATGAGAACTCTGAAAATGAGTATCGTGATCGTGATCTGCTTCATAGTCTGCTGGACTCCGTACTACCTGTTGGGTTTGTGGTACTGGTTCTTCCCAGATGACCTGGAGGGGAAAGTCTCTCACTCCCTCACCCACATCCTGTTCATCTTTGGGCTTTTCAACGCCTGCCTCGACCCCATCATCTACGGCCTGTTCACCATACGCTTCCGCAAGGGGCTGAGGATCTGCTACCGTAAAGCCACAGTGAAGTCGGACCTGGAAACTAACACGGTGATAACAGAGCCTTTGAAATGTACTCCCACTGCTTTGCCCTCTAAAAGAGGGATGACCACTGTTGAAAAGGACACCGACTGTGGACATACTGAGCCAAAATCCTCTGACAACAGTGGAGGAGAAGGAGGACAAACTTGCCATTCCAGCACTGAGAGCACAATGTGAAAAACCAGAGTAGAACCAGAAACTTAATACTTTTAATTGAACTGGTTAAAATATTTACATTTTTACAGTGATATCTGTACACTGGACATATTTCACAATCACACCTAGCATGCATGTGTAAAATAAGTGTAAAAACAGAAAATAGCCATCACCTAGATGTGTCTTTGTGTGTGTAAAGCTTGAGGCGGTCCATCTTATATAACATCTTTTTGAACACAGTAATGTTTCATGTTTGGAGTGGGTGATGTTTCGTGCATTGTGTAACTGGGTTCCATTTTTAGACAAGTCCGGCATATACAATGTACATTAACCAGGGTTTGGAAAAACCTTCAGGACTAAATGAAAAATAGAAGATGGTGATTGGCAGGTTATACAAAACCTGCCCTGTATGACTTCACACTGCCTACAGGTCTATTAGGAAGCCTCAAAGGACTGTTGAGGTTACTTTCCTTTCATTCATTTACAGTTACCACAAGAGGAGACGTTTTAGAGACACATTATCCAGTACATTCCTTCAGGAAAGAAACCATGAACCACATGTCCATCAAGTCAGTCAATCATACCCTGGTATGTAAGCCATAACATTGTTTGTGTAATGAAGAAAACTGTGATAAAGAGATTTTAAAAACAGGATAATGAAGAGAATTCAGTTTAGTAGTCCACAGACTTTGAGCAGAAAACTATCAAGGTCATCGTACAGACACTACAGACAGAACAAATCCCCAGATTAAAACTAATCCATTCACTGGTTACAGTCCAACTTTTTATTGTGTGCTGATTCCTATATAAGTTACTCTAAAATGCTTCAGCTGTGGCAGATGTAAGTTCAATTAGTTTTTTTCACAGCAAACATTTTGACTCGTTAGACTGACAGCAGGAAAACATGAACATAACATTAATGGGGGCTCAGTTCTATACAAGTACAAAAATAACAGTCTGAGGCAGCTTGTTATTTATTACTGTGCTTTTCATACTGTCACGTTAAAAATGAGAAAAAGAAATTTCTGAATTGTTTAAGAAACACCAGAATTTGGTTTGTTTGTTGTGATTTTGTCTTTACAGTATGAAACATTAAAGAAATAACTGCCTGCAGTTATAAATTGGAGATAACGCAGACGACTGTTTGTACTTTGATACTGCATGCATTTTACTGCATATAAGAAATTCTTAAAGCCAGCACTTCATACTGAACTCTGGCTGGATTATGTAAACAAATTGACTGCTGCTTATTATCCAATTGATTTTAATCAACTCTAGGGGTTCATTTCACCTGTAGTTGTTGTTGTTGTTTGGTCTATAAAATGTCAGGAATTGGTAAAAAAAAAAAATGCCACAATTTCTGGTTTGGCTCGATCAACAGTCCAAAATCCAAATATATTAAATTTACTATGTTATCCTAATAAACGAGGTAATCCTTAGATGTTTTTGTTTTTATAAAAACAATTAATCATTTATCAAAATACTTGATATGTTGAATAATTTTCTGTTGATTGACTATTCAATTAATCAACAAATTATCTGACTATGTTACCATTTGGTTTGTCCTCCATCAGAATATTTGAAATGGCATATGGGATGCGGTTTTTCAAGTTTAAACAGAATTTGCAGATTTGGTCATTTTGCACATTGTACATTTAGTATTTTGTCTAAACATAAAGGTTTTAATCATTTCTAACAAAGGAGTCTCCATTTCTGCTGTTAAGCCAACGGGTATTAGCTGAAGTACAGTATAGCCTCAACAATGGTGGGTATTTATCTCTTTTTTTTACTAAATTATTAATAGTAATTTTGCAAAACTTAAATTTTGATACCCTCTTGTCTCCACTTTATTCCTTAGATAAGTAGATGACACCAGCTAGCATCAGGTGGCCCCAACAGCTCAAACTCTATCTAATTCTGTTAAATCAATCCCAATGACACTGGAGATGAATTGCTGTGACCATGCAAGAGGCAGGGCCTCAATTCAATTCAAGTTATGCTCCCCTCTGCACCACAAAATGAATGTCTCAAAAGTATGAAGACTACACAACCTTTACAGTGTGATGCTAAACGTATAAAGTAAAGTAAAAGTAGAATTAAGACAAGAAAATAAAATTGTGGTTAGGTTTAGGATTAGCTTAATACAATAAAACTTAATGTTTAACAAATTGAAGAGACTTCCCTGTGGACTACTTTCATGTTAAATGAATGTTTTCTGGAAGGGTATACATGATTCCCCTTTATGTATTTAGGTAGACACATTTGCTCATTTCATAAAAGTTCTCAGTAGAGCTCAGAGCACAGTACCATTGATTGCCATTGATTTGGACAACCTGAATGTGACTAGGCAGACTTTGGCTTCCGACCAGAAATCTCCTGTGATTACTTAAGAAAGGGCAGTGAATGTCTTTGTCTCTTCTCCTCACTGCTTGCTGATGACAGGGAACACAACGGTGACCAGCATGCTTTGGTATTTTTGCCTCACCTCTGGGACTCACTGACTGGGCGCTGATGTAAGTGTCTTTCAGTGGCAAAGAACCAGAGCTGGCCAAACCTCTGCACAGCTATCAGTTTAATCCTTTAAGAAAGGCCTGCTATAACTGGATGTATAGGGCTAACAGAGCAAGGGATAAGGCTTTGAATAAAAGCATCCATCAAATGAATGATGTTATAATAAAAGTTCTCAATATCAAAAGTTCATATCTATATCTGTATCAGGTTATTATAAAGCATTGCATTGTATCAGTGGTAGGGTTCGTGAGCTGCAGTCATGTAATAGACCATAAGACTGGAAAGAAAACTGAGCCACAAGGCAAAACTCTCATTTAATTGGACAATATTTGTTCCAATCCCCACCCTCTCTTGTAGCCTGTAGCCATGAGTGTGGGGTAGTGACTGAAAAATTGAGACTGCAGATACAAACGGCCAAAATGATGTGTCTCAGGAGATTTAGGAGCTCAGAAAAAAAAATAAAAAAAACTGTTGGTTTCGGCACCCATGAAGGAAGCCACCTGGATGCCTCTTCACTGGGCACTACCTGTGAGGATAATCTGAGGTAGACCTAAATTATGCCAGAAACTATGTAACAAAAAGCCTTGAGCAACGATGTACATAAGTATAAAAGAATATATATTACTAATCCCAATTTTCTTTCCAGTCTGTTTTTATGAAGTACAACTTCTGCATCTCCTCTAATTCTATTTATTCTATTTAATGCATTGTTTTTTTTTGCATTCAACAACAAAACAGATCACTCCATTTGTTATAGCCTTGACTGCATACAATTAATTGCAAACATAGCAACAAATTCAGCTTTTAATATCTCAAATTAATTCCTACACAAATGGGCTTGTCCAAACTTGCCTCATATGTTTACTTTTTGACTTAAATTTAAATAAATAGTTGTGTGTTAATGAAATATGAGGCTACCAACACCTCTAAATCTCACCAGTTATGGGTGACCCTAACCCTAACCCCTACGGTGGAGTCACCTGCTGTCTGTATAACACAATATGTTAAGGTTTTACATTGCTGTTAGTGGATTCATTAAACAAATGAGGTGACAAGTGTTAATTAGTTTTTACTTTGGACAGAGCCACGTCAGTTGTTTTCCCTGCTTCCACCTAAACAGCTGCAAAATTAAAATAGGTAAGTGCCTTGTGGCTCTAGTTTCATACTTTCAGGACCCGTGTGAAGGACCTAGGGAAATCTAGCTGATTACTGGCTTTAGGTTCCTCTCTAGACTGGCTGCTGTGTTGAACAGGATGAAGTGCATGGTCAAAGTCTCTGTCAGAGTCTCTAACAGGATTTATAAGCCCAAAACATTTCATCACTGATGTTGTCATTTCGCAACCAGTCCCACTGAATCCTCTGGAGACCCTGAAGCCAGGTCGCTGTTACCAGAGCAGTCAGCACATGTGGTCAAGGGTGTTGATGCTGCTCTGTCCTGACAAACAAACCGACGGACTAGCCATTTGCTTAATGAAAGAATAAAACATTACGTACAGCCGGTAGTCACCCATAACAATGCTGTTGTTTTAATCTAGTTGGTCACCTGCCAGGATCCATAGCACTGATACTGAAGCTGTGTTCACTGTAATCCTATTTTCAGCCAAGATTGAAAGACAGTGTGTGTTTGATGATTGTTTATTGTTGCAGTAGGACAAGTTATTGCTTACATTGTTTTGGACTTTGCCCACATTATTTTCTCATCTCTTCTCGGCTGGAGAATGCCAACTCATTCACTGCTCACTGATTCTTCCTAGGCCTGTCCACTCCTATTACATCTCCACTGGTGAGAGAGAAGCACATCGTCTGATGAGTGCAACATCACACAGGCCTCCTTTCAACATTCATTCCAGCCGTAGCGCTCAGAAAACAGATGTACGTACCTGTAGCTCACTAAAGGACAGCTGCTGAAGCCAAGAAATGCACATGTAATATGTTTGCCTCGTTGCAGCTGCCAAATCAGTGTACTAATCAACATTAAAACCCACACATGAACTGGGTATGTACAGTATATACAGCCACTTGGGGACAGTCCAGTGTTACAGACTTCGGAATTCATTTAAATGCATTTCATTGTGCTGAATCAGCCAACTGCTCAGGTCTGAATCCTTTGGCCTCTGGTGAAATCACCACAGCTCATTTACTTTTCTCACATTATGTCTGCAAGGTCAGATCATGTTTCTGGCTGAGATATTATTAGCCTGAATACATTCTCTGGCCTACAGAAGCTTAACTTTTGTCAGCCTCAATGAATTTCTTGGCCAGTAGAGTTTATATTTAACTAGCGATCAGGCCTTGTGCGTTTGTTTCTCCACATGGATTTGAATCTTGTCACTGTTAGTTAGACTTAGACTTTATTTGTCATTTGGATTTGCATCAAAATGA